TATTCCACGTGTCTCTTCTTGAACCATATAAGACAGTGGATATACAAGGAAGAAGACAAATGCCACCGCCTCCTATAGAAGTAGATAATAATGAAGAATTTGAGGTGGAAGAGATATTAGACTCAAGGCGGCGCCGAAATAAGCTGGAATATCTTGTTCATTGGTGCGGATATGATATTAGTGAGTGCACATGGAAGCCATCCAGGAATCTAGCAAATGCATCAACTAAAGTCAAAGTTTTTCATCAACGACATCCATCAAAACCAAGATGAAAACCTCTCTTATAAAAGAGACAAGATTGAGGCAAGATAACATTCAATTTCCTATCCTTGTTTGTAACTTCTTTGCATTTTGTGACGCTAATTAGATGGAGAGCCAACAACCAACGGATTCAACTCAAGAACCTTCGTTTGCTGACTTACCGGATGAGACATTGCGATTGTCACAACCTTCAAGACGACGCAACCGAGATGAAGACCCTCAAGAACGACATGTTCTTCCTCGAATAGATGGTGAGATACAACGCGTTTGGTATCACGACCTTGGAAGAGATTCTCGATGTTTGGTGATATTATTGGAGATAGGAACGACTCCTGATGGTATTTCAAATGTATTATTTGAAGGAAGTTATGAAGGCCTCAACAGTGATCAAATAACAGGGTGGTCTTCTCGCCCTGGAATGGGACACTATCGATGGCTAAGAGGACCCATCAACTATCTTCGAAGAGAACAGAGATCAGAGTATGTGGCGAATACAATTCGCCGCATATTAGATTTTCTCAATATATAATCACCGCTCCTCGTGGAACTCGTCCCTAGAAGGGGGGGTAATGTCACGGACATACATATAATTACCTATATGAATAGATAAAAGTATGTAAAAGTAGATAAAAGTAGGTTAATTGTGTAATATCTTCTAGAGAAGCTTCTTAGAAGCTTCATAGACGTTGCTTTGACTTTATAGGAGTCTATAGTTGACTTTTAGGTTAAAAACTTGGTCAACAAGTTAGCCATGTGCCACACATGTTGGAAGCTTAAAGAACAAGTTAACTACGTGGTCCATCCATAGAAAACTTGCCTTGCAAGCAAAGGCATGTGGCCTAGAAAGTCAACATATATTGGAGGTCTTATAGAACATCGCCACGTGGCTTCTAGTTAGATAGTATATATAGAGGCAAGAGTGAAGCCCTCTTCACTCTTGTCAACTCTTTTCTTGCTTCTAGTCTAGTTTCAAGGGTCTCTAGTTTTCTTGTATTTTGGCAATAGCCATTCCAGTTTCTTTCTTAATATACATATTTCTATTTTGTCCTATTTCTTTTTGAGAAAAGTCTCACTTACTCTTTAGCTTTCATCGAGTTCTTGTCCTTGACAGCTATTGAGCTTATGACTTGCCATATCTATGGCCTTCCATCTCCAAATAAATGGACGAACAAAGCATGCAAATCAAACCTTAGAGAATATGCTATGATCATTTGTGGCAATTTATCATAATTATTAAGATGAATATTTGAGGTTCTTGGAGTTTGATTATAATGATAGTATTGAAAGAAGTATCAATTATTTACCATTCTTTCTTAACATCTATGAGCATCCAATTATGCCAACAACTCTCTATTGTCCCATTAATACTAATAACTTGATAACAAAGAAATTTATACAATGACTTACAATAATCTTACAAGAGGCACATCATTGCCTTCTTATTGTATAGAACTGATAGAAGTAGTATACAAATAACCATAAGTAATTCAAGACCTTTCGAAAGGGTGATTAGGTATTATTCTCCAACACTAAGTTGCCACCTGCTACATCAACCCAAATCCATAAGTTGGCACCTTGGTGGCTTGAACCTTTTTACATTTTTGCAGTGATTTATGATGTCGCATACTACCTCAAGATTTTGCTACATATTTGGATCCATTTGGTCTTCTATATTTTACAACTCAAGGAATTTTATACTAAGCTAAAGCGCTTTTTGGACCAACATCAATTACTACTACTATCAATTGTAGTTGATGACCAACAAAAGTATAAAGTGGATAGCATTTTAGAACATCACTACCTTTGCCATGGTAGTGGACATCCACAACTTTAATACAAAGTCCTCTGGAAAGGTTATCCCATCTACGATGCAATGTAGGAACTTGTACAAAACCTCACATATTGCCAAAGAATATTTTGGTAATACTATCAAAAGTAAAATGAGGATGTTCCGTATTAATGGAGGATGATTAATTGTAACAAAGTATAGATAAGATATTTGTATTATTGACACATATGAATAGATAGTTGGAGCCATGTTTGAGAAGTTTTTAGAATTGATGCTGAATTAGTAGATTATGTAGGATCCACCATGGAACATTCTAGAAAAAAATTAGAGCAGTTATTTAGATGGAGCCTACTATAGAACATTCTAAAAAGATCTTAGGGTGATTATTTAGATAGAATCCACTATTAAAAATATTTTAGAAAGTTCATAGATGGTTAGACAAAGTATAAATATGACTGACTAAGGCAATTTGGGCATTTGGTCAAGTATGGCTTCAGACCTTTTCTCTTAATAAAGTTTGGTTTTGAATCTTTATATTCAATTTTGTTCTATTTTTTGTTGTTGTAGTCTGCTCTGTTCCATGTTGCAATGGAAGTTGTATTATTGTAGATTAGAAGGATCTTAGATTTTTGAGATAATGTAGTTCAATTTTATAGAAAAAGTTAGACAGAGAGTTATTAAAGTCAGATCTCAATTTTGTTAATGCCACACCTTCCTCTTTACTACTTAATAATTTATTTTGTATCTAACTCTTGTTCCTAAGCTTGTTCTCAACTCTTGTTTTCGCCCATCATCTCCTTCCATCCCAATCCAATTCTACTCCAATCCTACCTCAATCCCACCTTGTGTTGACTAAACCTTATTCTAATGTAATCTTGACTTCATCTTAATTCCATTCATTCTCATCACCACTCTATCCTCTCGCAGTATCAACTACACTTTTACTCTATTCCATCTTGACTCCACTTTGTCTTAACCTTACATCAATTCCACTCTATTTCAACTCTCCTCCCCTCCCTTCTATACTATAAGTTTTGAGTTTTTTAAACAAATTAGTGAAAAGAAATAAAATATGTTATTAATTCTTATTATATTTAGATTTTTGCAACTCAACTTATTGCAAATCGTAAACCATAATTAAACTAGACGTTTTTCATTGATTAATATCATTTGAAAAACTCATTAAATCTTATTATCTCAAAATTTGGAATTTAAAATATAATTTTTTTATAGATATGTTTAAATATGCATAATAGCTAAGAAAAAATCATAAATTTATAATAATTTTTTTAATAATAGTCTTTAAAATAATAATTTTTAAAAAATATTTATTAATCACAAAATTTAATAATTTTTAATTAATACTAAGAAATTATATGTTCTTAATGGACTTTTATTGTTATTTGCCTATAAGAAAATTATACTATGATTTAAATAGTAAGATTAGATTACTACAAACTTAATATTGTAACTGATTATAAATATTTTTACTCTAAATTCAGAAACTTTAAACTTGATTATCAGATTTATTTTTTTTATTTCATATCTAAATTTAAGAATATTTAAAAATAAAATAAAAATTTCTAAAATAAAAATTAATTTTTTATTTTAATTAAATAAAAATAATTTATATTCCATACAAATGATAGTTAAATAATTTTTTAAAAAATCTTAATATTTTAATATTATTCAATTTTAAAGAAATATTTAAATAGTGGATGTAAATTTTTAATTAATATAAAAAATTAAAAATAAATAAATAATGAAGTACTAGCTACTAAATGTATTATGTAGGTATAGTTTTGTTTCTTAATGCAAATGTTATTTTTTGCCTTTAAAATAAAATTTTATTACATCAATATAAAATAGTAAAATATAAAAACTCTAAGCTCTTGATTTTCAATTCCACCATCTTCACGTTTCTTTCAAAATAAATCCTCAATATAAAAATACTTCACAATATAATTGGTACTACAATTGGTTTCCAAACTCTACTTGTATGTCAAAAAATATTTGATTTTAGAGATATTTCTAGAATTAAATTATTTATATTTATTTATGAGTTAATATTATATATAAAATCTTAATATTCAAACTAAAAAATTCTGATTTGATAAGAGGTAAATTGCACAACTCATTCATCATTTTATTTGTTCAAAAAACTCAAACTCCAAACTTATTACCAAGAAGGGGAGGAGGGGGTTTTGGTTGGGACTGCATGAGGATAAGGTAGGGTTGAATTGGGAAATAGGCATAATGGCTAGGAACAGGGAATAGGGGCTGGGAACGAGGTTAGGGAAAAGGGACAGTTACACAATGAATCATCAGGTAGAAAATGAAGGTGTGGTATTAACAAAATTAGGGTGTGGTTTTAACAACTTCTTATATATATATATACATATATATGTATGTATCTGATCTTTACATATGCATCTCAAAGAAGATATATTGTCAGTCTAGAAGTTTTTATATTATTTTATTTTATATTATTTTTTAAATTAAAATATATATATTTTAAAAAAGATTACATGAATAGATTGATAATATCCATAAAGACATTAAAATTGCATAGTCGAAATTAGATATGTGGAAAATGTATGTTAATTTAAATTACAAATATATAAAATTTGATGTTTACAATAGATCCTTCACCTGTGTTAACATATAGCTTTTAAAGTTTCAACACAAATCAAACTTGTTTACAGTTATTAAATCTCAATATTTGATAATATTATTGGGTCATAATATCTAAACCTCAAAAATACATTTAATGAAGAAATAATAAATAAAAAAAGAAAATTGAAAAATAATTGTAATATATGCATTACATTAGAATTAAGTTTCAAACATTTCTTGTAAAGCTTACGACTAGAAGAGATAATAAAGTGTTAGTTTATTTTACATTCTTTTCAAACCATTCAACTCATTTTAAATGATTCCTACAAACTCTCTTGTTAGAAGGCCATCAAACAAAATCTCTACAAAAACTACTATCCAAAAAAATCTTGTCAAAATAATTCCAATAAAAAAACAATTTTCGAAAATCTTTTGAAGCAAATTATTGTGAAACCAAACAACAAAATTCAAATCTTGCAAAGACAACAAAAGTCTCATCAACTCATATTATTCCTACGTCTTGTTTACACAATCCCGTTTTACAAACCTTCTCATGTCTTGACACTAAGTTTCAATCGAATTTAGGGCTAGGGTTTGGTGTGGAGCACGACTTGTGGCGTTTCGAACAGGCAGTCGTCGTCGCAATGCGATGAAGCGCACCGTTGCAACGGAGCTTGGGGGACGAAGGCTTCGTCGTCAGGGTTCAGAAGCCTTGATGCCGCACTCGCAATCTTATAGACCCTCCGAGTTATGGCGGAGAAAGCCGCGGAAGTGTCCAAGTCGGTGGCGTTGTTCGTTGCGGCGGGGCTGTGTGAGATCGGAGGAGGCTGGCTGGTGTGGAAGTGGCGCCGCGAGTGCTGGCACTGGGGCTACTTCGTGGTGGGCAGCGCCGTGCTGATCGTCTACGGGATTCTCCCGACGCTGCAATCGCAATCTTTCGGACGCGTCTATGCCGCGTATGGCGGTTTCTTCATCCTGCTGTCCTTCTTGTGGGCGTGGGCATTCGACCACCAGCAGCCCGATCGCTGGGACCTCATCGGGTCTGCAATCGCCCTCGGTGGAGTTTGCGTCGTCATGTTCACGCCGCGGATAACTCACGACGCTCCTTCTCCCGCTCCTTCTATCCCTCCTTATCCCGCCTGATCGCGTCTTCGGCCTTCGTGAAGCCGCGGATTCTACCGCCCGCTCCGGAATCAGTTGAGGTCCCCTACTGATGCCTCCACTCCTCGGTGTTTTTTTAAGACTCTAGCAGTGGGGCGTGCCGAAAAGCCGTTTATTTCTCTCATGGATTCGCATTTTCTCGCTGCGGGGTTCAAGCGTGAGCTGCTGTGAACGTGAATTGGTGGTAGCTTTGAAAATTCGTCAACCTGTCTCGTATCTCATGAAAGGATCACAGTTTCTCATACCAATGGGGCTTCAGCGAAGAGCGAGTTAAGTGCCGGAGCTGGCATGTGCATCCCTGTGTCGGAGAACGCAACTCAATGCAGGTTGATACAAGTTCAAGTCAGGCTGTAGTTGTGGAGATTCATTCACTCTAATCCGTTACCTGGGCGCCATCCTTCTGTTTCTAGTATTTGTATTTGAATCGGAGCACCAACTTCATGAAGCTTGAATTGCGCCCGAGTGTATCATAATTCCATGGATTCTGCATATTGGTCCAAGCAATATAGCTTTGTTACAGTTCTGTAGTGACATGATCTTTCTCAGTTCTCATTTTTCAAAATATGCGTTTCTATGTTTATCCCAAATGAATGAATATTTTCCACTCACCTTGTTGATCTCATAATGAGGTCTCCTTAAATGGCCTTGAGTATTTTCTGTAATCTGAATGTGCTATGATGTGTGTACAGTACATTGATTTTGTTTGTGTGTGCACGCGCGCATACACACAGCATCGAAGAAACAAATCGTTTGATTAAATAAGGATTGAGCACTTTTTTAAAGGTAAGTGCAACGAACAGTGCCTCAGTTTTCACATGAAGAAGGTTTAGTTGGGTATATATTCTCACTTGTGGTTACATTACACTCAGGATCTGCAAAAATAGCCTACTCTGAACCCAAAAATGATTCCCAAGTACGGTTAAAGAGAAGAAAAAACAGAAAGTAAGAAAGGAAGAAAGAGAAAAAAAACTTTGTCCTATTGTACAAGCAAAGACAGAATCTCAGACCAATGAGTTTGACCTCTTACCAAGGGTCACTGCAGGATGCTTAAGCGACACAAACGAGGCAACGAAAGCTTGGGATGGTCAGTACTGAAAACCATGGACCAGGAAATGTAGAATCAAACACAGTGTTGCCAGTTCGAGCTTCGACTGAAACCACGGGTCTCCCATCTGCAGATTCTGATTGCTACTGTAGCAGTTCGGGTTGGAGCAAAAAGTGTGCCACCGAAGCTGTGGCATGCAATGAAGGATAAGAAGGGAACAGATGACGCGGCCATCACTAGAATTAATGAGCAGAAGATACTAGTGACAGGAAGCACACGAAGCTTACGAAACCTATTATGGACCCAAGTTTACTTACAGGGATAATCTTGCCAGCTCGATTCGAGTCGGCTCACTGAACCAGCGGCTAACATCTCTTACGAGGCGAAAATAAAAATGAGGGTTAACGTCACTATATCACCCTTTTCGCATCATGCAAACGAATCTCAGTACTTGTAAGGTTATTCGATGCAACCCCGTCGACAACCTCCCCACCAGTGTCACAAAACTGTACCTTGTAATGTCTATCCTGTTACCGTGGGTTTCATCGAGCTCTTTGTGTTTGCATTGCAAGATACAGTGAAAGGAACTACTACTGGAAGCGTGTAGATGCTGGTTTCATGAGAAACTCTGCAATATATAGCAGATATCTGAGAGAAAGTAACAAGCCGACGGCGCAATTTTCCACTTGGTTTCTGTCATGTGCTCAAATTCTGTGTGGCGATAGAGAGGAAGTTCATTGCATGGAATCCATTTCAAGGATAACAACTTGGTCAGTACAGGATTCAGAAATGGCACTGTTAAGATATGTACTGAGGGAAGGGTTCAGTTGAAAGAAGGCTTAACCTATTCCAACTTCATCAGAATCTGGCAACGTTGTGCTCACTATTATTGTGCCTTCAACAATAAACCTTTCAATATAAATCCTTGTTCTCAAACAATTAAGAGTGGAACATGACAAGGTTATTTCTACATCATGAATTTCATTTTAAATGACTATATAGGAATATCAAGAGGAGCACAAATAGAAAGACATACATTCTAGATGATTATTATTTGATTTTGTTAGACATCTTAATTTAGAAAGAGGAAAGATAAACATTCAAAATATTTTTTTGAAGATGAAACTGCTTAAGATTAATCCTGAAAAGATTGGTATTTTGGGTTTCTAAATTAGAGCATTCTTGAACAAATGTTTTTATTTTCTCATTAAAAAACTATTTTATTTTGACATATATTTAAATTTTATAATAATAGGTGTAGCAATCATTGAATTAACTATATGCCAAACCAAGATTAAAAAAAAAATGAGAAAAAATATATAGAAATACATTATAATTATATTTTCTACTTGGTATAAGAAGCACTAAAGTTTACAAGACTAATAAATAAATAAATTAGACTAGGTTTTTGCTTCTAATGCAACCATAATTGTATGTCTTAATAAAATTGCAAAGTAGTTGTTACATCTTTGTAATATATAGGGTATGGTTATAGATATGCTTTAAAATTAACATGTGTATATTAAATAATTGATAAACATATTTCAATTAGGTTCTAATTAAAGTCAAGGAATAATAATATATATGCTTGTAGTTTATAATATATAAAAATAATTGATAAAAGAATTTCAAAGAAAATACCTAACTGTAGAATGTATAGAGCTATTAAAAAAAAAAAGAATATACAAAATATTAAACTTAATTTTAAAAAATAACACTTTACTTAATTTATTCTAAAGAAACTACTTCTTATTAGATAATATGTAGTTACTCTTAATTTTTTTATACAAATCATTTCAAATAATTAAAATATATTAATATATAATCATATAAAAAATAATTTGTTTAATTAAATTTTTAATAATTAGATTACTTCTGGTAAGAAACCAGATTAAAAAAATTGGTGTGATAGGTCAATAAATTCGTAAGAATATTGATAAAGACTTTTTTTATAAATTCTTTTAGAAACAATAATAATTATTCAAATATAAAATTTAAAAATAATAAAAAGTAGATTTTGATGTTTTTTTAAAAAATAAAATTATAGTAAAAACATATATGTTTTAATTTTGGAATTTTAATTTTTTTTAAAAAATAGCATAGTTTAGAAGATTAAATATTGAAGAAGTATTAGACATTTAAAAGAAGAATAAAAACATTATTAAGTTAATTTTTCTTCTTACATCAAATCTTAGAATTTGTGTAATCACAAAAAAATAATAATAATAAATTAATCAATTAAAATAACTTTTTTTAGATACAAACAACATGATCAACAACAATTGAAATTAAGAATAATCATAAATTGCTTAAAAAATATAATAAAAAGAAATAATACAAGCATATTTATTTAACACATAAAAAAACTAAAAAAAATACCAACTCAATTAATAATAAAAAAAATCACAATTAGACAATTAAATATTATTGACTATTCTATACAACTTTATCTTAGTGAAGAAGCAACATAGCAATTACAATAGAACAATAAGACAAGACAATTGCAACAACAATTTAGACCAAATAATAATTAAATATATTTTTAAAGAGAATTTTAAATTAATATATGATTATCTAATTAATATTAAAGATATATCTAAATTTAAATTAAAGATTCAAATTTTTAGGTAATAATAATTATAATAATAATTCTTAATTTTTTTGTTCTATGACAAAATTTCAACTCATAAACATCAATATAGACGTAGACAATGACCTTCTACAAAACAAGTTAGATAAAAACTCTATACATTACTAGTAATATAAAGATTGTGATCATATTTAAAAGCTTAATAAACAAACTTTACAAACTTCACTTAAATAATACCTAGATCAAAATTTTAATGTGGCATGTGTTGAAATAGCAAGCCAACAACTTCTTGTAGTTTATATAAAGACCATAAAATCTTTAATGATTGTAATAGAGCCAAAATGTTGCATTCTTAGAACTTTAAAGTTGCCTAAAGTAGTTATACTATTTATTAAGTTTAATACAACTTACATACATTATACTTCTATTTATCTTACATTATAGTAAATAATTAATACCTAATATATACCAAGACAATAAGATTTTAGAAATCAATGTATATAAGATAATATTGGAATGCAAACTTTACCTAGGTTTAATATTATCCAAATTCATTGGATCTTCCTATAGAGTTTGAATATTATAATATTACATATACTAGAATATTGAAGTATCTTATATTGTAAAAAATCAACATATTTATATATTTATCTTTGACAATGGTAGTACATCCAATAGATTTGAATTGCTTTGGCTACCACAAAATTATACCAAATAGTTATACTACAAGTAATTTCAATGTAATTCCTTCTATAAAATAAGTTTCTAATTGTAGAATCAAACACCATTTTGAAGCAATTTTAACTAATTCAATGGAGGCACAAGAGAAAATAGTACAATAGTAACAATAAGAAATATATATAACAAGTCCTGGCCAATCAAAATAGCTTACAATTACCAATTGCTATAAAATACAAACTGAACTTAAAGTAAGATAAATAGACAAAGTTAAGACCTCTTTTTAATGATATTAAATGATTAAATTAAATTATTGTTAAGATTTCTAGCATGCAAAAAAAATGATACCCGCTTCCCGATTCCCTGTAGATACCCGGTGATACCCTCCATCTCCGTTGTTTTGGCTCCACTTCATCGTTGCTCATGGCGATGGCGACAATTGCTCTCACGAAACAAAGTATTCGGCAGATTGTGATGGCAATTGCTTAGGCTTGGCTTAGTTTCCATTGCGAGGAGTTCTTCAATTTAGCGTGGGTGAAAGCTGAAGGAATAGATTGCGAGTTTCTCATTGCGATACTTATTCTTCTTCTTCTGCTCTTGTAGCTGGGGTTTACTTATATCAACCTAACGAGGTGTTCAGTGTTGAGGATTTTGAGGAAGGATGTTAAACTCGGGGGACACGGCCAGTCTTCTGGCCGTTCTGGTAGAGGAGCGATCGCTGGAGAGCCACTTATCGGCCTTTGCCATGGCGTTTAAGCGCCACCAGCATTTCAAGGCTTGTTATTGCCTGACTCTGCTCCTCGAGGTTTGTTGGAGCCTTCAGTTTTGTGCTTTGCGTTTTTATTTTTTATTTCCTCTGCAAGCGGTGTACGAACTTGCGAGTGGATGATCGTAATGAGGGCTATTTGTGCGGTGCATTTCATTGTTCAGTCTGACGTCTCGACTGATTGACATTGTCGCAATCCTTCTTCGGTGATGTTATAAAAGTGAGTAGGAGCGGTCATAGTTTCTATTTGGGTGATGGATTGATTTTTGATCACAGTCTCACCAAGTTTTTCAAATGTGGAGAAACGTTTCAGATTTATTAAGTAGTGGTCTGGTAAATTGTGTCACTATTCACAATGGAAATCAAGATTTAATAGCAGATTGTACTACCCTAATACAGGTTTTGAGTGGTTTTGCGGTCAATCAATCATAGGCTGGACAACACGAACTTGATGTCGTTGAGACCAAATCGTATTGTGTTGAGTTGTTTCTACAGTTGTGTAGTGGAGCCGTTTGATGTCTGTTTGTCATGTGGACGTCCTTATATTGTGATTTTATTTACACAGGGACGTCTCTGAGTACACATGCAAGCGCCACGCCGGTATAATTGTGACGTGAACATGCTGGATACGTGAGGGGTTGAAATCTAGGGTTTTAAAGGATATTCCTCCAATCAGTATGGAGTAAGTCGAGAAGTGATGGTTATGTGTTTACTGTTACTTTTGGTTGATATGCCTAACTTCAACCATCTTTGTGGACATTGTTTTTTTTAGGATCGGCGGCTTTTAAAGCAGACTCAGCGCCTTGTGGCTTTTTATATTCTGTTTGAATTGTATCGTGGCGAACAATCAAGCATTAATCCCTTTATGTCAGTCCTTATTGATGTAAGTGCCCAACATGTCTCATCTTGAGGAAAATCTTAGTAGTCTTGATAGTCTTTGCGATGATTACGAAGGTGATAAGGTTATTCAGCTTGAATTGTTTCTTGCAAAACTACGTTAGACATTCGTTTACAACTACTACAATATCCATGATGCAGGCAGCGTCTAATGAGGCAGCAGATAAGATGGAGCGTGCATTTCTACAAATCCTTCTGCAGTCTTTGAATAGCAACAACAAAGAAGTAAGTGTGTATGTTGTTTTACTTCACTTTATGCCTGGGGATGTGTCGGATACTAGAATGAATGTGAATTTGCAATGTTTAAGAACGCGTCGTTGTGTTTGTCCTGCTGTTTTCTTTCCCTCTTACAGTCAACCTATTCAAATTTTCTGCTTATTAATATGGTTTTCTTGCAGCTTTCGATGAAATCAGCCAGTGAGTTTATCTCAACATTCGACCCCTCGGTGCATGTACAACCTCTGTTTTCACTGCCCACCTTAAAAATCACAACATGTCATCCTCTATTTTTTCTTCTTTTTCACATGGTTTTTTTTTTCCTTGGAAGGAAGTATTTTGATTCTTATGGTTTGGAAATGCAAAATATTCATGGTTTTCTACTGCAGTAAATTGGACCGTTTGTTTATTGGAATTGAGTAGATCATGATAATACGCGGTTTCCATCTTGGGCTTCTTACAGAAATTTCTAAGCGCTGAGGCATTGAAATCAAGATATGCTGGCAATCTTCCACCCGAGCCCCGCATAAGCAGTTTCAAGAAGGCATCGATCAGCAATATAATCCCCGATCCAGATATACCTCTGGGCTTTGCTCTTGATTCTACAGAGTAGGTGTCTCTTGAGCTACTATTTTCTGAACGTTGAAGTGTTTGTAGTGATACAAACTTGCAACTACGCTTGATAATTTGCTGGGTAGACTATTCACGTAGTGGTTGTTGGCGGTTTCTGCGGGACCTCTTAGTCTTCAGATTGAACGTCTTGTTTCTTCTTACTTATTGTACTGTTAATATTGAACGCTCAACCTGTTGTCATGTATTGTGCATAGGTGAAGTATAGTGCCTCGTATTTTTGTGTCACTGTATTTGAGGTTTGCTTACAAGCAGCTTCTTTATGATACACATGGTTTGACTAGCACATGTGTCCTGATTACAGACATGCTGTGCCAGGAGGTGTGACACAGCTCGGTGCTGGGAACAGAGGAGCTGCGGCTGCGGAATTGGTACAGTCTTCTTCGCTGAATGGACTTGAACCTCCTTGGGTGCGCCCTGCCCCTCCAAGACTTCCTCCCCAGCAAGGAGAGGTAAGTAGTTGACAGTCTGTTACATAGCAGAATTAGTCGTTTACCCTCAGATCTTTCAGGGCTACATGACTCTCATTACATACAGTAATCTTTCTCCTGTTCCTGATTACATGGTTGTTACACTCAAGTAGATGGTATTGCTGCGGAGGACCTCCACTTTTTGTCATCTTTGTGGTTGTCCTTCGCAGAGGATCAGCTCAAATACCTGAAAATCCTCCTGCTTCAAAGGGCTCAACGGAGCATCTTTTACTACATTGTGTTGATATGATGAGGTACTTTTTACGAACTTGTGTGGAGTAAGGTTTATATTCATATCATCCTCTGAAATGTTTGCTTACAGATGATTTGGCTAATTCCAGACACCCAACATGAGCTTATGTGGGATTATGGGATGTGTGCCGATACCAGCCGTGATGCTGCTATCCGAGATCTTATAAATCGTGCTTTGAAAGGTCCTTTGGCACCTGCGCAGCAAAAGGTCCTTTTTCTTCCTTAACTGCATCTGTTGACCCACTCCTGCAACACTTTTCTATTCGTGACTGTGGTAACATTCTAAGCACTTTCAGTTAGGCTTGACTTAATGCATGTTGTAGGTTTTATCGAGCATCTTAGTGAAATTTTCACAATTCAACTATTTTTAGTTGTTACAGTCGATCTTATTTGCAAATGCTCTTTTTTCTTGTAACAGAAAGTCCTAATGGAGCTAGAAGCTGATCCTAAACTTGTATACCACTGCGGGCTTACCTCACGACGTTTGCCTGTACATCCCGAACCTACTGCTTGATTAATTCATGAATACGCTGTCGTAATAGTTTCACTGTTCAGCTTGTAACGCAACTTCCCAGGAGTACCGTGTTTTCGGTATCTTAATGACATGGTGATAGGCCCTAATCTAAGAATAGGATGATTGAAGTTCGCGTACTTTCTGGTTTGCTCGAAATTTCTGGACGCATGGAACATATGCTGCGTCACTTTATTCATTATTACCAAATTAACGTGTTTGTTGCTGTACTCTGTAGCTCCTTCAGCTTGGACCGTCCAGTTTTGTTGCCTGTCTTGAAAGTTGATTGTGTTTTCTTTTCGTCTTTGGCAGGAACTTGTAGAAAATAATTCTGTAATTGCTGTTGAAGTTTTGCTGAAGTTGATGAATTCCAACCAGATTATAGAGTAAGAAACCGATTGATTATGTGCTGTAAGCCTTGAACACTAGTGTTTTACTAGACATGATGCTTGTGGGAAAATTAACCTTGTACTTCCATAGACTTCTTTGATCTGTGTAGTGATGTATTGGAGTGGGTTATGATGTTGAATGAACATTTGCGTTGCATCGTTTCTTGTGGATATTGTCCTCTCCCTTTCCATGTATGATCATTCTGATAGAAGTGAGACTTTTGCAGCTATTTTAAAATGCTTGTCAATATGGATATTAGTCTACACTCGATGGAAGTTGTGAATCGCCTTACAACAGCTGTGGATCTTCCTACTGAGTTTGTGCATATGTACGTCTCCAACTGTATTTCATCGTGTGAAAATATCAAGGTGTGTGTCCTTTCTTACTCAAGTTTTGCAAGTTTGTCAATTCAACATTCCCTTTTCATAGCCATTTTTGTGTGCTTCTTGTGGGAGCCTTGTCACAACCTAACAATCGCGTTGTGTACTGTCTAGGACAAGTGCTTGCAAAACCGTCTGGTTCGATTGGTTTGTGTCTTTTTGCAAAGCTTGATTCGAAACAAGACAATCAACGGTATGAAAGCTGTTGGTTTCTGTGTTGCAAATATTTTGCAGTGACATATAGAGATGGCGCACCATACGATGTAGGACTATGTTATTGGTGTTTATTTTCCATACCTTACTAGTGACTACTTTGTAAGCACAAGATCTTACAAAGGGATTTGTATGCTTGTGCATAATACGAATTGGTCTGTATCAACCTGACTGAAATTCCGGTGTGCCTGGTTGTAGTGCAAGACTTGTTCATAGAGGTTCAGGCGTTTTGCATCAACTTTTCACAGATACGAGAGGCTGCCACTCTTTTCCGACTTCTGAAGACATTGGAATGCTGATTAGCAGATCTTGTATTTTCTCCCCAATCGTGGTGAATAATTTTTAGATAGATCGGCAAGGATTGATACGTAGAGGGGTAACCACTCCCCAATGGTTGTGTAAAGTACTAAGATCTCATGTCCGAATTCTTGGGACACACATTCAATACATTTTCTTAGTTACTTCTACCCTGCACTTGTCTGTGTTTTTCTTTTTCTTTTTTTCTTTTTTTCTTTTTTTCTCTTAGGTTTGTCATGCTGGGTTCAGCAGCCCTCTAGTCGATCAGCTGGTGCATGATTTAGGAGAGTACCGCAACTGCAACTAAGTCATGGTTTTGATGATGAATCAGTCTGCTCAAAGCAGGAACTGATTTAGTGCGTAGGTCGTGTAATGATTTAGAATCTTTAAGATTGGCAATCCCTTGGATGTTTTTCTGTCGTTTTTACAGAGCAGTGTCTCATGTACTGTCGCTTTGGTTATCTATTTGTTGCATGTACTTGATCCCGAAATCAAATTGAATCCCACATTTTGCAGGTTCTGTCTTTGTGTCGGTAACAGCTTCTAAGCTTCCATCCCTTTCTGTTCGCCGAGGCTACGGGAATGTGGTGTCACTTTGAAGTTGCCTTTACTTGGACAAATGTGTAGCGAAAGTTAGTCACATCACCTACTTCAAAACACATTCTAATTCCTTCTTCTTCTTCTTCTTCTGCACGTTAAGGTGCTTACTCATTCATGCATGTAAATTGGGCAAAAAGAGCAGCACCTGTGTAGCACACTCATGCGAATAGAATGGCAAGGCATTCTCAAATTGTTTCACATTGACACAAATTGAAGTGGATAAACTAATGAATACGTTTATATTATCTATCATGATGTCTAATGGAAGGCAAAGGTACAACACCCTGGAGTATATCATAAAGAGTAGAAGAAATACAATTGTTGCTATGACACTACCATCATGTTGTCCATGTGAGAAAAAGAAGACCAACGTAAAGAAGACCCCTCCCACTTACAGCTCCCCTTCCATATAATAAGCTTCAACTGGAAGTAACGTCATAAAGAAATTTATGACGCATATCCTGATAGCTAATTGATCACACAAATCATTAAGTGTAAATATATCTATATATATATACATATATATTTATATATACCCACACAGATCAGGGATATAGAATAATTGGTGGAATAAGATGAATAAAGAAAAGAGGTAGGGAGAAAGGGTAGTGAAGTAGTATTTTTTTAAGAGGGTAAAATAATGGTAGAATGATTGGGGTTCTCTAGCATAAGGTACTCCCAAGTCACCCACCGCCCTATATAGTTTGCTGCTTAATTAGATGATCTTTTTTTAAAAACAATTATATAGTCTTTAGCAAAGAAATGTGAATATGGATTTCCCTTTTAATTACTATTGTACATGTTGGAGTCGTCTAGTCTGCTACAACATCCTGACTCCCCAACATTCTCTCATTCATTCTAATTAGATTGTGTGAATTAAACATACCTTACTTTACACACATCCACATTCATCCATTTCTTTGCTGAGGTGTACTTCCCGCGTCGGGCATTTGACTTCGTTCGAATCGATGCCACCTGGGCGGCTCCACGTCAGCATAGGTTTCGGTGGGCTGTAGTTACGGCGGTCAAAGTCAAGTCCACGTCTGAATTTAACCGGATCCCTGCTAAAGTTGGAGGGGGTTGGGGTTTTCCCACCCAGCCCGGCCCCCCTTGTTCCCTGGGCTGGTGTGGAAGAGCTTTGCCAAATTTAACCGAGCCATGGCTTTCTTCAAACCATGAAGGCTATGGTATCATTCTTTTGAAGCAGTCAAACTTTCTTCCAATTTCTTCACTTGCGTAGATCGTATCAAATTTTCATTTAGAAATACATATGGATAGAAATACAAAAGCTATTCTATCTCCTATTCTAAAATTATATCCTTTAAGTTTAATATCAATGGATAGTAAATTTTATTGGAAAGTTCAATGCAAAACAAGCACTACATATCAAATGCTTGATCAATGTATCCATTCTTACAATTTTTTCTCACTTTTTTCTCACTTTTTCTCAATTTTTTTTTTTTTTTTTTTTTTTTTTTTCCAGTTTTTTCTTCAATTTTAATTTTAATGATTTTTGTTATATTTCTTCAATACTAACACATGTGACAATACGCTGATTTTTACTTTCATTTATTCAAGCATAACATTGGAATTCTATAGAATTCAAAATCACAACATTGCATGGATTATTTCTCTTTTACCTCTAGTAACTTAATGTTATGTTTTTTAGAATTGTAATTTTTGTTCAAGTCTTAGACTTGTGACAGATATTTTTGTACTTGACACAATCTTTGTTTTGTTTTTTGTTTGTTTGTTTTTATTATTTTTTTCTTTTCTTCTTCTTCTTCTTCTTCTTCTTATTATTATTTGGGTGTATGTGTTGTACATTCTACCACTGAGAACAATACCAAAACTTATGTACTGACTAAGATTTTTAAGATGCATACAATTGCAATTAGTTAAGTTTATACTATTAAATTATCCCTAACTGATAAGAAATACAATATGCACATACACATATACTTGTATTTGTACTTTTGATATTTTTAATATGTACTATACTATTATGAATAATTTTAAATTAATTACTAAAATTATGTATTTTTTGTTTGTATTTTTTTGTTATAACAACTAGTTGCAAAAGTTATCGTGCTTTGCTTGAATCTCTCTCTCTCTCTCTCTCTCTCTCTATCTCTCTTTATATGTGTATATATATATATATATATATATATATATATACTTTTTGAGGGAGGATTTAAAACCAAAATTTTATACTATATTCAATAATAAATTTCTAAAATCATGTAAATGATTTTTTTATTGTGACCTAGTAGTCAAATGAAAGTGACTCCAGGAAAAATTAATTTTTTGGGGTCGAAATGCATTAAAATCATTTTCCAAGACAGATACCAAGTTATATATTTCCAATTAAAGTCATTTCTCTCTCCAAGGTGAAGTAAGTGTAAGTAAGTTCTGGGCCAGTGGGCCAGAAGTGCCAATGGTCCTTGGCCCAGAACATAACAATTCCAGTTTTCAGAATTGTCACCCTGGATCTGGAGTTCTGGGGGGGGGGGGGGAAGGGCATCTGTTCCCATCCCATTCCCTCCTCCCCTAGTCGATTCCCTGCCTACCCACTATTTTAAAGCACTGAAATGCCTGGAATCCAAGCACTCGTTTTGGAATTCCGACTGGAATCTGCGTGCTCTTATGCGATTGACTCTTGCCGGAAACATGGGGTCAAGTGTATTTCGTCAGTGAGCCTCCTCATCGTTCACGTCATCCGTCGTATGTATTCGTATTTCATCCAACCGACTTACATTCGTTTCGCATCACCGTCACGATTCGTTCGTTCACCGACGAGGGGGACTTTCATTCGTTCCAGCGAGGGAGGGCTGTGTTTGCAGCGAATATGTGAAGGGGATACCAGAACTGCACGAGGAGGGCAGTGGTGCTGCTTCTTTTGACGCAGGTTCGATTCCACATAAAGCTGAAATAGTAGCGAGTTCCACAGAAAGGAATATTCTACATACGATAGACCCTAGATTATCAGATGGGTGATATAGTGTAAATAGCGTGATTAGTGTAAAATAGGATTGCTCTCTGTAGCATGGGCAATGATTCTCAGGTTGGGGAGAAACTGACTGGGTCTTTGCCGCCGCACCCCCGAATCATGGGAAGCATGAGCCACGTTTTGGATTAATGAAATAGTTTTGGATGAAAACCATATGTCGGATTCTGAGCGTTGGGTTTCGGTTGTGCAGGAATCTCATGAGCTCGTGAAGTCAAAGTTCAGCACATCTGTCAATTGTCATTTCACAAGTCCTTCGTTTCGTTGCTAGCCGTGTATATGTTTTTATTGTATAATATCTTATTTTTTCAAATGATATATGATTTATTGTGTATATACTATTGGTACAAAGTACCACAGTAGAGTATATAAATGAGGTTGCGCAAGGCTCAAACATCATGTTTCACACTTGTGTAATGTATTATAGTATTGCTTTTAATCTAACACCTTTTGTCTCTCTTTTTTTCAATCCCAGTAAATTATGGATCTACTTTTGCAGTTAAAGAGAAGATTGCATTCATTTCAAAGCAGTAGTTGAAAGAATCTTGCTTTGACAAACTTACAAAGTGGGAAAATTGAGTGTTATTGATGATTGCCATAGTAATACAAAAAGACTATTCGTTTAGAGAGAAATCACATGATTGATCACTCCTGAGTTGTAAAGACAGAAGACCAAATTAAACTATATGGAAACAATTTTGCTATATGTCTACTTGTACCAAAGAATCCATAAAATTTAATTCTGATTTATTAAAATTAATTATTTTCCCAATAAAATTCTACGATAACCTGCAATTGTATCGAAGTTTTGAGAACATAGTTTTACCATTCAACCTCAAAGCAGCCTGACCAAAGTTATGAGTGCACGACACATCTTACTACAACTTTCTGTTCTTCACTACTTATAACTTTAAAATCAGGTGGATAATATTAATAATAATAAAAAAAATTCATTCCTCTAGAAATGTTATATTTCCTCTCAAAATTTGCACTCTATTTACCATTTTATTTTTTCTTGGTTGGTGTCTCCTCCCTTTATTTTTTCATTTTTACACACGCATTCTATATATATACATACATAAAACATATTCATAAAAGTGGATTAAGCGGAAAGGTTTCTTCATGGAGTTGAAGGGCTCCTAACTCCAAAAGCCCTAGCCCCCTAATGTAGAGGTGCCGCTGCAGCTGCAGTCCCACCCAAAAAGCTGAGTGAGAAGGTTAGAGAGGGAGTGAACGGGGGGGACATTTATTCATGAAGGACATGCAAAAACACGAGAAACGGGGAGAAAAAGGGACAAAAAGGAACTGAAAGAGTTGAATTTGATCTTCGGCGAAGAAGCAGAGAGAGAGAGAGAGAGAGAGCAAAGGGAAAGGGAAGGGAGATTGCTAGTTGGTTGTTACAGTTCAGTTCCACCAAATCTAGCCCCCCTTTGTTTCAGGACCTAAGTGAGACTTGGCATGAGCTGAAGAATCAGATGCTGCATCGAGCAAAGGGGGAGGGAAGTGAATAGGGAGGGAGCACAAGGGGCTGAGGATATAATGGAGTCAAAGATAGAAAGATAAAGGGTCGAGAGAGACTGAGCATCAGCATTAAATAGCAACGGGGAAGGGGATGATGACGATACTTTAAAGCAAGGTCGAGGCTCTCTCCTACAACAGAATAAAGCTTCCAAACGCCCTATCTATCCTGCTTCCCGTGTGTCACTCACTCTGTTTGTATGTGAATGTGCTCGCGTGCGTGCGTGCTTTTCATGAAACTAGGGGAGTGAGAGAGAGAGAGAGAGAGAGAGGGGTGGGACCAAGCAAGCAGCATTGGCTGCAGTGGGAAAAGGCCTCTTTCAACTGCCAGCCGCTGCATTTCTGCTCTCATCGAGCTCCGCTGGACCGTGTCATGTGACCATTCCGAACGCATTCTACTCGCATCATCGTGGAGGTCAACTTCGTTCTGCGACAGGAGCAGTCGGGATTGTTTATTATTATTATTATTATTATTATTTTTGTTTCGCTTAGGAGGTTTCGGGGTGAGATTGTCAGGAAAGGATCTTTGTCCTTCGATGATATTTTGGAAGAGGATTCGAGTTGGACTCGTGCGGAGAGTTTGCGGCTCATTCCTGCTTTGTTACATTTGATTTTCTTTTCTTTTTTCTGTTCTAGTTTTTGTTTTTTGAAGAGGCAATGGTGAGGCGAAACTAGCTTGCGAGTACGACGAGCAAGGCGAGAAGAGATGATGTCCGATGGAGCGCGGGCTAGTTGTTTGAGGTGAGGGTCAAGCGCATTGAATTGTAATGGGGAGGAGAGCAGTCGTCCTGTTTTGTGGTGACATTGAGCAGTCATGTTGAGATGTGTGGCGGCAGCGATCTGGTGGTGATCGTGTGAGTAAATTTCGGTGAAGGATTTTGATCCTTGCGGCGGTTTTAGTGTTCCGTGCAATGTATCTGTTAATAGTGGTGGAGGCGTCTGATGAGAGTACAATTCTAGTTGAGATTATAAAGTGTGTCATGAAGGGAGGATTGGAGCAACTTCTTTGAGCAGATTGAATGCCGGTCGCGCGCAATGTGAGGTGTCTGGAAGGTTGTCCGACGACGAGATAAGTGATTGTTTGTGTGCACCGCCACTATGGGAAAGAGGGTACTCTTGACATACACGCGCAGGAACAAGAGTGATCGTGCAATTTTATATTGTAAACTTTTCTGTGACTTAGCCCAGTGGTCAAATACTCGTAGACGGAAGCTTGTCCTTCTTTTCCAACAATAGTGTGTTTAACATGGTGACTATGAGTGCAAGCAATCTATCTATGAGTGCCCTATCTAGCAAGGGCGAGAGAGGGAGAGAGATAGAGAGAGAAAGATTTACTGGTGAATTAGTTTGCGATAAATTCTCACAGTCCCTACTAGCCCCTCGTTTGAAAAATCAACTCCTCAATTAGTTTTGCAGGCTGGACGAAGTAGCTTCTTAGTGCAGTTTCAAAAAAGCAACTGGCTGCCTGTGTGTGTGTGTGTATGTGTATGTATGTGGTTGTTGTTGTTGATTCACTAATGTCTTTAGTTTTTAAAACTTTTTATTCTTAAAGAAAAGAAAGGAAGGATAATAATATTAGTTGCACAATGGCTGCCGCTAGACCTCGTTGGCACTATTGTAGAGGGTTTGTCTCTCGAGCAAAGTGTATTGGTTGTGCCTTATGTATTCCTCGATTTGAACTGATTAATCTAGTGCATTCTCTGGACACGTTGGGATAGAGATTTTTCGATTTCCAGCTTCCTTCATGTTTCATTTTTCATCCCCTAGTTGCAAAGCTGCAATCGATAAGCGCTTAGTACTGAACTTCGCTTCTTCAGGTTCCGTAGTTACCTTTAGAAGGCCGTTTAGAATATTCGGTGTGTTCAGTTAATTTATCGTAATGAACTACTAGATGATTGGAAATCGCACAGGACTTGCATGCGAAAAAATTATGTTTAACAGGGTATTGATTTTGCGGAGGCTTAAATATGTCCAAAACCGGTTTCCTTCTTCAACCTCCGAACGGCTTTCTTCATGGACTTCAATTTCTCGAGTCTTTGATAGCGCGAACATCTCAGAAGTGAGAAATTCACGTTGGGGCTTCTGTTAGCGGCAACATTTCCACTCATTTAAGTTTTGATGGATATTGTGTCTCAAGGACTTCAGCAAGTTTTTCCGGTTATCGTTGAACTTAATTCATTGTGCTCGCCTCAGAAAGTTAAGTTTTGCTTAGTTTTGTTTTATTTTTTGCTCCAGAGAGGGGTATACCCGATCCATTGATAGTGGAATTGCCTAGTTTTTACCTGGATATTATTCATGGATTATAAAAATCAGCTCTAAATTGTAGAGCCTTTTATACAATGCACCTAGATTATTATGTATTTGACTTTCAGCCGTGCCAAACATGGTGTTGACCTGCTAATAGAGTTGTAAGTCTTTAGTGCACAATAATGCAAAGTATTTTATGGCACGAAAGAACTTGTGGTTATGCCTTGCTGGACACGGTGGATCATCTCATAATGTGCAAAAAATGCCTGAACACCAAGTTCATGTAGATGGCAGCTTGTTAAGGCTTGAGTACAATGTGTTTTCCTTGATGATTAGGATCAGCCTGGACTTATTGCGTCGAATATAAATCCCGATGCTTGAAAAGCGGGAGGTTTTACCTGAGGCCAGTGTGTGGAGGAACCAGCAGAACAATATGCTGAGCGACGTAGCTATGCAATTTGCTCCAGGAGCTGAATTAATGGTTGGAAGGAGCAAGATGCAGCCATGGTCAGAGCACAATGAGTCTTCGTGCATGACCGAGTTAGCGTCTCCTCCAGGTGCGGATATCGAAACAGCTTGTATTTCATAGTTTCAACATCCAAATTAGTGGGGAAGTTGTAGGTATTGTAGTCGGTGAATTTCAGAGATGAGGACTTCGTTAACAGAATGTGCTCTGTCGCAGCCAACCCCACAGCTTTTTGGGATCAAACGATGCACAGCCAAATCGAGTCGAGTAACTTATTTGGTATGACAACTTCAAATATGGACATAGATTTTCAGCCATCGACTCCTACATTCTACTCTTATGCTCGTGAAACTAGTCAAGGTAAGTGTTTGTAAGTAAACGAGGTTTGCTTGTCGGTCAACCTAACTTGATTCAAAATAAGGGTCAAAATATATAGGCGGTGATTCTAACGTACATAGGAATGCATCTTGTATGTGCCTTCTTCGAATCAATGTAGGCTAGTTTCAGTTATTTGAACTAGTTGGGTACAAGTTATAGCGCATGTTTTTATTCCCTCTATTGTTCAGGTAGTGCTAGCACTGGATCGTCTACATATAGCGATCAGGAAGGGGAACGCATGAAGAGGCGGCGTATGCTGCAGTTCACTGGGGTTAACACAGGTGGCTTTGCTCACGACTCGCCGCCTCCTTACGAGAGTGTCATTGGCTCGCCTACAAAGACATTCTCTTCATACTCGTGTTCTTCGTCCTATGCAGTAAGGCATCTAGTTTCTCCGCCTGAAACCAGACTTTTTCACTTTGGATTGTGACAGCCGCGTTGAGCATCTTCTTGAAAAACAGATAAATTCTAACTAGAGAGTTTCTGGGTGCATTGATTCACAGAATTCTCTTTCTTCAGTTTACAGTGGTGACGACTACATGTTGCAACCTTCTGAGTCACCTGGTTTGCCAAGCTCGTCGTGGGTTTCTGGATCTGGTGACGCCATAACCTTCTTTATTTGGTTTTCATTTAAGAAACCTGCGTTATGACATCTTGTACCATTTTTCCAGCAGCTGTTTGGCACACATGCAGGCCAGAATATGATGTTCTTACGGGGGTCTTTCGTGATTATGCAGATGTTTCCACCTCTTGTATGCTTCCCAACATTCAAGAGCCTCTTGACAAGTGGTCTTCTCTAACGTCGTTTGATAACATTCAGTCCTACAGTGCTTCAATGCAAATGTATGTACCGTTAGCATTTTATGTCTTTCGCTTGTGACTACTTTGACAATGGACCCAAGAAACGTATCACAAAAGTGATTATATTGAGATATTTGCAGTCAGCGAAGTCACCTATTGTCTTTTCTGTTATATTGCAGTGGAGATCTTCAGATTCCGACTGATAGTTACATCCCAAACTCATTTGGAGAGATTCATTCTCCACAACAGTGGCAACGGCAATCGTCACCCCCGCCGCAGTCCAGTTTCTGTCGACAACGACAGTCACCACCGCAAATGCAATTTCAGCAGCCTACCCAATGTGAGCAAACTCAACAGCGATGGTTGCAAGCAAAGGCAGAGCCTGGACAGTTGCATAGTCCTCTCACAGCTTTCGCAAAGCCTCCTACTCCGGGTGAACTTCCTTTTCAGCACTCATTCAGAATCTTTATTAGGAAAGTGCGATACGATATGTGCGAAATGAATCCAGAGAAGCTTTGTATTGACATGTACACTTCCTACTGCGTGAATGATGTTGACAATGGTCTCACATGGGCTTATGCAGGTCGGAGGCATTTAGGGCCGAGTAGATTCAAAACGAAGTCGATGACACCCATCGCATTGCCGTTTGCGATGCTGAAACCATCTCCTGCTCAGGGTGATGTGACACTCAGTGATATAAATAAGTTTTTAATGAACCCCCCAACAACACTTACAGACGGGCCATCACCTGTGGAGGAGAAAAAGCCTCCTACTCCTCCAGGAGCGGGCCTTTCTGGAAAATCCGTTTTCGCATGCACCAAGATACGCACTGAAGGTGCTGGCACCATCACCATCTTGAGGACTAAGGGATAAACTTCAGTCATCTCCTAAAGTCGTGAAAATTATCATTAAAGGGCCGAAAACCACCTCGTCTAACGCTGGATGCCTGCCCTGCCACCTTGAACTGACTCTTGTCATGTGGTGTCCACCTTCGTGTAACGTCTTGGCGCGGGACAGTGAGTGTGTAAGTACTCTCTCTACCGAACCCGTTGATAGCTCGATGGTGGTGCTCTGGAAAAAGGCAAAAAAAGTCCTTTCAACCGAAATTACTGTAACATAGCTAGAGCTCATGCATTCCCTAAGATTCATGACTTTTTTTCTTAATTATCCTGCATAGTTGGATTCCAGAGGGACGGTTTTGTAAATTAGCTTGTCGACGGAGAGACCGCCTGGATTATCGAAGAATCTATAATTTGTTACAATTCAATCGCACGGATTTGAGTGCACCCATTTCCTTTCCGATCCCCAACGAAAGTTACTCGTAGTGGAGTTGCATCGTTAGACTCGATTTAGCCCGTGATTTTTTCACGATCCGTTCCATGACTTGTAGATAGATTCGAAGTCGAAACTGTATTTCAGTTCGCTTCAACTGCAAGTCTCCTGCCACTCGCTACACTCTATGAACATTATGCATGAGCTCATCAGAAGCCATCGAAGAGGAGCTCAAAATCTTAGTCGCATGGGGCATCTGCACAGACACAATCTCTGTCTACCATCCATACAAGTTTATAGCTATTTATGAGAGTTATCACATGACTTGATGCCACCCCTTGCCAGTGTTCACTGCGTAGCAGTATTATTTGCACAGCACACTAGATTTCTACGTGTGAAGATACGTGGTAAAGTCTGATATCATTGCAGATATTTAGTTTTAGGAGACCAAAGGGCATTTTACTCTTTTTGAAGACTTTTTATGATGGATATTTTGGCAGTCTAACTGTTGACCTGGGCTTTTTGCACAGTTGCAGATTGGTAAGTTTGTTGGCCACATTCAGTGGGACTGTTAGTATCTCTTAGTCAGATAGGAGTAAAGATAAATTACAAGAGGCAAAGCCTCAACCATATATGAAGAGTGTGTTGGTTGCACTCACCCACCAACTTAATTACCTTAACTACATTAAGGTACACGATTAAAATTAATTTTGTACACGAGTGCTCCACCTTAATCACCTTAATTAAAATTCTTTTGTACACGAGTACTCGCGAGATGGCAGTTCTCCCTGTCAGTAGTGCACTGCCAATGCCATGAGTAGTATTGATTCAGGTAATTTTTTCTTCCCTCTTTTGCTTGAACATTTACACGAGATTTCTATTTTTGGTACTAATACTTGGTTAGTTGTGTTATCAAGTAAATAAAGCTAAAGGCCTCAACCTTGTGTCAAATTTCTATGAAGCGAAACGCCCATGTCTTGTGTCGACGTTCTTTGATGCACAAAGAAACTTCCCTGCAACGTTTCATGGTTCACCTTGTTCTTAATATTTTGCATTTCTTCTTCTTATAGATGTCATCCTTTCTTCAATTCTCCCTCGTGAGTTAGTTCTCTTCAAAGTTACAAGTAGCACTATTTGTTTAACCTAATTTCTTCTTCTTATAGATGTCATCCTTTCTTCAATTCTCCCTCGTGAGTTAGTTCTCTTCAAAGTTACAAGTAGCACTATTTGTTTAACCTAGCATGTATTAATTGATAAAATTATTAAGTTTTTTTTTTTTTTTTTTTTTTTTTTTTTTTCACAAAACCTTGGCTGAATAGATAGGTGTTGATTTTCTTATAGAACTAATGTGGAGTTTACTTGAAATTATATAAGGTCTTTTTTAGATGACATTCTTTACATTCTTGACCTACTTGAACTTGCCCCTTTGGTTGAAGTATATAAAGTTTTTTTTTCAAGATCTCTATAGAAAAAAGTAGACTTGACATCTATATGGATAAAGTTCCATTTATTATAGATTGCAATAGATATCAGCTCTTCGACAGTTTTCTAATATGCCATATGTGCAAATGTCTCTTAAAAATTAATTCCTTCAATTTTTTCAAATTCTTATTCTATTAGCTTAGTATTCTTTTGCAATATATTGCAATTAAAATTCTTTTTAATTATGTAAATCCATTTTGTAGAGATTGGTTCATAGTTAATAGATAAGTCAAGTAAGTCCTATAAGTGATTTCTTCTTATTGATTCTATTTTAACCTTCATATCATCTCTCTAATTCTAATCTAAATTGGCTTTGTAGAAGAAAACATGTTCAATTTTTATGACATATGTCTTAATTAGTGTTGCTTAATAATCATGATGACTTCTTTGCCAATAGCCATTTAGTTTGTAATTAATACTTGTATTTATTCTTATAGAACTTGTATTAATTATGTTAAGTTGTTATTGATATATATATACAATGTAAACAATTTATATATGTCAAAAGTTGAGAGGTTTTCACGAGATTGTTCTTGTACAAGATTGATATGTATTATGGATATACTGTCATGGACATAAACATTTATTCTATTAATTACCTATATAATTAGATGAAAATAGATAAAAATAGATAAAAGTAGATTAATTTCATAATATCTTCTAAAAAAGCTTCTTAAAAGCTTTATAGATATAATTTTAAGTTTACACATATTTATAATTGATTTTTAGGTTAAAAACTTGGTCAACAAATTAGCCATGTATCACATATGTAGATAGCTTGTGGAACAAGCTAACTATATGGCATCTACATAAAAAAGCTAGCTTTACAAGTTAAGCCATGTGGCTTGTAAAGTCAACACATATTGGAGATTTTATAGAACGTTGAAATGTGGCTCCTAAGTGGATAGTATATATAGAGGCAAGAGTGAAGCTTTCTTCACTTTTGCCAACTCATTTCTTGGTCTAGTCTAAGTTTAAGAGTTTTTAATTTTCTTGTCTTTTGATAATAGCCATTCCAATTTTCTTTCAAATACATATTTCCTTACTTCTATTTTGTCATACTTCTTTGAAAAAAATCTCACTTACTTATTTGCTTTCATCGAGTTCTTATTCTTGATAGATTGACAAGAGTACACTTACAATATTAGATCTTTGTCTTTTCTTGATAAAGAATAGATTATTCTTTTGTCTTGATACAACATTGTCAAGGACAAGAACATGATAAAGACAAATAAACAAGTGAGACTTCTCTCATAGAAAGATGATAAAATAGAAATAACTTGATATATATATTAAGAAAGAAATTAGAATGGCTATTGCCAAAAGCCAAGAAAACTAGAGACCCTTGAAACTAGATTGGAAGCAAGAAAGGAATTGACAAGAGTGAAGAGGGCTTCACTCTTGTCTCTATTATATACTATCTAACTAAAGGCTACACGGCGGCATTCTATAGGACCTCCAATATGTGTTGACTTTGTAGGACACATGCCTTGACTTACAAGGCAAGTTTTTCTACGTGTAGGCCACATAGTTAGCTTGGTCTTCAAGCTAACAACATGTGTGGCACATGGCCAACTTGTTGACCACGTTTTTAATCCAAAAAGTCAATTAAAGATACCTGTAAAGTCAAAGCAATGTCTATGAAGCTTCTAGAAAGCTTCCATACCAAATACTATAGAATTAACTTACTTTTACCTATTTTTACTTACTTCTTCCTATTTATACATATAATTATTGGCTTACATGTGTATGTCCATGACATTATCCTCTTTTCTAGGCACGAATTCTATGAGGAGCGGTAATCATATGTTGAAGAAGTCTATGATGCGACAAATTATATTGGCCACATACTCTGATCTTTGTTCTCTTCGAAGATGATTGATAGGGCCTCTCAACCATCGGTAGTGTCCCATATCAGGGTGGGAAGACCACCCAATTATTTGATCATTGTTGAGGCATTTATAACTTCCTTCGAATAAAACATTTGAAATACCATCAGGAGTTGTTTCTACTTCTAGTAAAATCACCAAACATCAGGGGTTCTTTTCAAGGTCGTGATACCAAATGCGTTGTATTTGACCATCTATTCAAGAAGGAATATGTCGTTTTTGAAGATCTTCATCTCAATTGTGTCGTCTTGAAGGTTGAAACAATCGTAATGTCTTGTCTGGTAGGTCAACAAACAAAGGCTCTTGAGTGAAATCCACTGGTTGTTGGTTCTCCATCTCTTGAGCATTACAACTACAAAGAAGCTACAAACAAGGATTGAAAGTAGAATGATATCTTGCCTAGATCTTGTTTCTTTTATAAAGAAGATATTCATCTTGATTTTGATGGATGTTGTCGATGAAAAGCCTCCACTGCCTTTGTTGCATTTGCAAGATTCTTTACTGGCTCCCATGTGCATTCACTAATATCATATTTGTGCCAATAGACAAGATATTTTAATTTATTTTGGCGTCGCCTTGAATCTAAGACTTCTTCCACTTCAAACTCTTCATTATTGTCTACTTCTATAGGAGGAGGTGGAGCTTGTCTTCTTCTTGATATATCTATTGTCTTGTATGGTTCAAGAAGAGACATGTGAAATACTAGATGGATTTTCATTGACTCCGGTAGATGTAAACGATATGCAACTCCATTAATTTGTGCAGAAATAGAAAATGGTCCATGCCTTTGATAGTCCAACTTGTCACAAGGACGAGTGGTCTTGATATTGTAACAAAGTAACCATACCTTATCACCCATGTAAAATGGTGGTTTCTCCTTTTGATAGACATCCGCATTGACCTTTTGTTGTTTTTGAGCTTCTTTTAATTGCACCTTCATCATTGCATATAGCTATGACAAATGAATTGCCAAACCCTTCGCAGCATGATTATCAACTTTTAAAAAGTCAAAAGTATCAAGTCATGGATGATAACCATAATTAGTAAAAAAAAGTGTTTATTTTGTAGAAGAATGTACCATGTTATTGTAAGCAAACTCCGCCAATGGCAAAAGAATTGTCCAATCATCTTATTAGTAGTTAATGGTACATCTTAAATACTGCTCCAAAACTTGATTAACACGCTTTATTTGTCCATCAATTTGAGGATGGAATGCCAAAGATAGTTTTATATCCACTTTTAGAATCTTGAAAAGAGTCCGCCAAAATCTTGATACAAATTGAGTTCTCCTATCTGATATAATATCCTTGGATAATCCATGATAGCGATAGATATTGTCAAGAAAGAGCTTAGCTGTTTCTTCACCTATGATAGATTTTGTATATGGTACAAAATGTGCCATCTTGGTAAAACGATCTACTATCACAAATATAGAGTCATAAGAACCTGAGATTGGAAGGTCCGTGATGAAATCCATAGAAATAGAAGACCATAGTCATTCTAGAATGGATAATGGCTGAAGAAGTTCGTAAGGTCGATGATGAGGAGTTTTTGATCTCGAGCAAATATCATAAGATTTTACAAAAACTTTAACTGCTTTCCACATTTGGGGCTACCAAAAATCCTTGGATATTAGTTCCAAAGTTTTATTGTACCCAAAATATCCTACTGTTGGAAAGTCATGATGAGCTTGAAGAACTTGTAATCAAGCTTCACCTTCTGGAACATATAGGCATCCTTCAAAATATAGTAGATTCTTCTTGAATTCAAACTTGAAAGTATCATGAGACTTTGAAGGATTTTCCTTAATATCACGAATAAAAGGATCAAAAGACATACTTGACTGAACTTGCTTAATGAAAGTTGAATCAACAGTTAGTGTTGATTTTATTGCTTGAAGATGAAGATGCTATGGCTTCAAGAGAATTGTCCATTGTTGATCAAAAGCAGCATCTCCTTCCTTTGGTGCAAGATAAGATCATTTAGAGAGTGCATCTGATAAACCTTGTTGTTTTCTTGGTCGATAAGTGATCTTGAATTCAAATCTTGACAAAGATATATTCCAACGGGCTTGGCGATGATTCAAAACATGTGTTGACATAAAATATTCAAGGTTTTTATGATCCGTATACATTGTGACTAGGCTAGAAGCACCTTTTAGATAATAGTGCCATTCTTGAAACGAATCCACAATTATAAGAAATTCTTTGTCGTGGATCTCGTAGTTGATCTCAGCTGTTGAAAATTTTTTAGAATGAAAAGCTATTGGGTGAAGTTTATCATCTGTTTCCATTTATGATAATACAACACCTAAAGCAAAATCTGATGCAATTGTTT